GTGCCTGGTGATGGACTCGGCCTCGGCTTGGACACTCATCTGGAGCCTCACCATCGCCCAGAGAGCACTCTGGGACCTCTGCTGTTTCCTTATACTCTGTGTCTGAATCTGTTTGTCTCCACACTCATTGTCACCTCCTGTTAGGCATGAACCTGGAGAGAGTCCCAGTCTGGCCTCTCCCATTCATTGCTGAGTTCCCAGCACCCAGAGTCAGTCCGGTGTAGAGAAGCCGCATGATGCAGTTTTGTTAGATGCATTTCAGATGAAGAGACTAAGGGTCAGGGAGGACACATGGCTTGCTAAGAGGAAGCCCTGGATTTGTTTAGCTCAAGGAGCCAAATTTCTGACTAACCCCCTCACGTGGCCACTTGGGAGATCCCTCCCATCCCCTGAGAGGTGCCTGCTGTCTTCTCAAGCCTCCCACTAAAACCAGTGAGGCAGACTGGATCTGCCCCCGGCCTCTTCCCTATTTTCCTGGGTACTGAATGGCAGTTGGCCAGAGTCAGCTCGGTCTTGGGGACGTTCTCTCCTCCAGACTCACCCAGTTTGCCTCTTTTCGTGTGTGTGACCTGATTCAGATTTCCCATCTTTGTCCCTTGGGTCCCCTTCTGCACCTGACCTTGCTGCATGATTTCCTGACCCAGGCAGATCATGCCTGAGGTTGGTCACTGTTGCTTTTCTCTCTCGTGGTTCTGGGGTGGCATCCAGGGTCTCGGTGAGGCCAGAGGTTATAAATCAGAGCCCTGATGGTTATGCTTAAGAGTCGGCTCTACCACTGAGTGACCCTGGCGGCCTCGTTGAACCTCTCTGAGCCTTGGCCGTCCTTTGTGAAATGGAGACAGGTTGCCGTGAGTTCAGTTGAGTTGGTGTGTGGAGGCGGTCTCCCTCTGCCTGGCCGGAAGAGCGGTGCCGTCCCTTGTGCTTTGCCCAGTGACAGATGCATGTTCAGAGTAACCTGTTCCTAGGCTATTTTACCTTTGTGAAAATATCGAGTTCACTTATGCAAACTTAAATGGCCTCTAGGCAATAGAATTTTTTTTTTTTTTTTTTTGGTACTGGGGATTGAACCCAGGGGCAATTTACCACTGAGCCACATCCCAGCACCACTCCCCCCCCTTTTAAATTTTGAGACAGGGGTCTCGCTAAGTTGCTAAATTGCTGAGGCTGGCCTCAAATTACTGATCCTCCTGCCTCAGTCTCCCGAGTTGCTGGGATTCCAGGTGTGGCCACTGCACCTGGCCAGGCAATATAATCTCATGGGCCCATGTCTTTCAGGTGGTCCATCGTTGACTGAAACACCGTTATGTGGCACATGGCTGTCCCACTGTGCCCTGCCACAGGCGTATCCTGAACATGGACTTTAGAGTCTGCAATTTTTAATCTGTCTTACATGAATGTCCCATGTGTTTTGGTCAATGTCTCTGTAGATGAAAAGCCCCTAACAGGCTCTCTCGAAAGACCACGACCCTCTGTGGGCAACTGACATCTGCATGGCTGGCCTGGCTGCCAAGTCCTGGGCTCGGCAGGAAGGCAGGACCCCTGGAGGTCACCCCCTCTTCACCTGGCCCTTTGGCAATCGGTTTTCAAATATCCTGAGTTCCTGGTCCAGGCCGTGCTGGCCCCGCCGTGCTGGCCCACTGAGGGGAGTTGGGCCGGTGTTGGTCCTGTCTTGCGCAGATGTCAAGTTTCCTTTTTAGAAAACAAACAAACAAACAAACATGTTTTCCATTACCAATGTCCCCCCATCCTCTTACTTTAAGAGTTGTTGGTTGTAAAAGAAATCCTGGTGAACACGGGAGCGCATGAGCACCTGCCGCCGGCCCCTGTTGTGCTCGGCTATCTCGGAAAGCCCTAGGCCCCAATGCCCCGCTGTGGGCAGGTCTGTGATCTGGTGGTGCCCACCTTGCCCCCAGGGCATCCCCCAGGCCTCCTCGAGGCGCTGCTGGCCGGTGATCATTTCCTGTGCGAGAAGATGAACCGCTGAAGGTCCCGCAGGAAGGAGGGCCCTCTGTCACCCTGGGCTGGGCTGTGCTGGCCGCAGGCCCTGGCACAACCCGAGGAGCCACACGGCAGGCGGAGGCACGCGTCTCCTGGGGGAGGCGGACTCTTCAAGGGAGCAGCGAAAACGGGGCAGAGCATGGGCCGTCACGCTGCAGGCCTCCGGGAGAGCCCAGGCCTCGCCTGATGGAGCGCCCTGGCCGCGTGGACACGAGAGCGGGGTCCTTCACTGTGAGCTCGGTGAGCCGGGTCGTCCCTCAGGGCAGGCTGTCTCAGGGTGCCCTGGAAATCCCGCGGCTGCCCTGGGTGTCCCGCACCTCCCTGGCAGGGCTCTGGATCCGCCCTCCTGATACCCAGGCCCCAAGATACACCAGTCCCCAAATATGTGCCCAGAGGTGGCCACGGCGAGCGGCAGTGTCCAGGGACTGCAAACTGCAGAGCCCTGTGCCCGCTGCTCTCGGCGCCCTCACCCTGGCCCCTGGTGAGGTGGAGCCGGTGGGGGGGGTCTGCGCCCCATGGACGAGCCTGGCCGGATGGAGGGAGGCGCCCAGGGCTCCTGCAGCTTCCTGGCCGCAGGCCCCTCCTCTCCTGCAGGTTTCAGCAAGAGTGAGTGTGTCTGCGGCTGGCTTCCCCCCAAACCTGCCCACAGGAGCCCACATGCTGTCCCCAGGGACAGCCTGCGTGGAGGACGTGGGCGAGGATGTTTGCACCGGGCCCTTCCCACCCGCGGCCTGTGACCACCAGCCCTGTCCTCTGCGCTGCCCGCTGGCCCCGGCGGGGGTGGGGAAGTCCTTACTATTTTTTTTTCTTTTTTCAGGGCTGGGGCTGGAACCCAGGGCCTGGCTGTGTTAGGCAAGGGCTGCGGGTGGGCCACATCCCAGCCTGTTTCTAGAGAAAGATAAGAAAGTAGGGGACCCCTCCGGCCAGTCTAAGGGAGCCAGCGCCCCTCTACGGGGCAGATTGCTGAGGGCGTCCTCTCCTGGTTCCACCGCCCGGCTGCCGCCTGTTTGCTGAGCAGTGAGCTGCTGGGGTCATCCAGGGCCACTCAGCTCCCAGCTCCTGAGAGTGAACGGCCGGGCCAGGCTGACATCCCTGCCCAAGACACCGTACCCCGTGTTGCCTGGGGCAGCCTGGCCTGCGTAAAGGTGCAGTGACCCCCGGGGACTTTGAGAGGCTGTACACATGTAGAGAGCCTTGGAGGGCCCCAGGATACCCAGGCTGAGAAGCACTGGCAAAGCCGGTTGTTGGGGGGCAGCTCTTTGACACCCCTTGGCCATTCTCACCTTCTGTCAGGGAAGTCCTCGCAAAGCTGGGTGCCCAGGGTCTTTCTGAGTGTCATTCACCCTGTGTGACCCTGGGGAGTTGGCTTCTGCTCTCTGACACCGGGTGCCACTGCACCTAGCTGGGCACTTGTAGCCTGGGCGTCTTGGCTGGTGCCACCCCAACCTCAGCGCCCAGCTCCCCCGCATCGGCCGTGACCATCACACTGGATCTGGGTGATGAGACGGAGGCCAGCAACCAAGACGGCTCTCAGGAGCTTCAGCTAGGGCCCCTCTGAGAAGCTGTCTGAGGGGGACAGGGAGCCTGGGAGGGGGACAGGGAGCCTGGGAGGGGGACCGGAAGGCACGCAGCCAGTGATGAGCAGCGGCTGAGGCTGCATTGAGAAAGCGGTTCCAGGGCGCCCAGCTCCGTCTGCCCTGAGCCACCTCCGGATGCTGCTCATAGGGATTCTGCTGCGGTGGACCTGGGGGCGCTCCTGGTGATACAGGTGCTGGGCCGGGGCCGGGTGGGGACACTGGGCAGCAGTGTTATCATGGGTTCTCTCCCATCCCTGTGCCCACTGGGCTCTGGTCAGAGGGAGGTGGGCTGGTCACTGGTGTCTGGAAGAAATGATGGTTCTGGAAAAGCTAGAGAGCCCGCAGGTCCTTGCCAAGAAAGCCAACGCAACACGAGGGTAAAAATCATGTTTTTAACACAAGAAAGAGACCTCTGCCTTCCAGCAGGCGGGGCGCCTGCTCCCACCCACGCAGCCCAGGGGCCTGAGGAATGTGGCCTCAGCCGGCCTTCCTCCCCGAAGGCCGGGGATTCGCTCTTAAAAAGTTCCCTACAAAATGAGTTTTCTCCATCCGCCTATTTCCAGGCTGTTTTAAGATCGTCGTAGTCACATCCCTCTGAGAAACACCCACCTCTGGGTCCTGGAGCTCAGCTGGCAGCAAACACCAGGGACAGAGAAGACCCCTGGGGGTGCTCAGCGGCCCCCCGGGTCACCTGGCTGCTGAGCTCCTGAGAGCTAGGGCTTCCAAGATTGGGGATTCCGACTTGAACCCCCAAATGGACAGAGGTCCATGGCCAGTCGCCGGTGCAGAGCCCTGACCACGACCATTGGGTGAAGTGGTGGGACAGAGGTGGCCCAGGGCCAACCAGACCCTTTGCCTTAGCTGGAAAAGGAGCTGAGAGAGGTCCCATCCTGGCAGACCAACCCTCTTGTCCTTTATCAGATGTCACCAGTCATACTCAAGTGCTCTAGGAACCAACCTCTGTGACACTTTGGGTATGTGTCCCAAAGGGGTCTCTGAGGCTCTGATACCGAGTTCCATGGCCAAAGACTCCTGAGAAATGGAGAGTCGAGACAGCAGCCTCCTTGCTGGGCAGGCTCTGCCTTGATAGGTCCTCGGCCTGGGATCGCCAGCAGGAGGTGAGTCCCTGTCTGCCTGAGCTGACAGTGGCTTTCCAGAGCCTAGCCTGGGGTCTGTATGCCAGGGAACACACTCTGGGAACCCAGTCAATGGAAGGCCTTCACAACTAAAAAGTCTTTCTGTTTCTGTATTAGTCACCTCCTGCTGCGTAACAAATCACCCCAAACTTAGCAGTTTAAAACAATAAGCATTTATTATCTCAGTTTCTGCGGGTCAGGAATTCAGACGTGGTCCAACAGGCTAGTCCTACTGTGGTCTTTCCTGAGGTTGCAGTGAAGCTGTCAGCTGCTGCTGGAGTCGTCTGAAGGCTTCTTCATGACTCACTCACATGGCTGGTATGAAGGTCTCATCCCTTGCAACTTGGATTTCTCCATGTGGCTGCTCAAGTTTCCTCCCAAGAAGTTTCCTCCCCAGAGTGAGTGCCGCAAGACAGCAAGACTGAAGCCCCAAGGCCTTTTATGACCCAGCCCTGGATGGCAATATGCATATGGTAATTTCCTCGAATCCTATTGGTCACACAGTCCAGCCCTGATCATTGTGGGAGGAGACTAGGCTGGCTGTGAATGTCAGGAGATGGGAACCCTTCGGAGACCATCTTGGAAGCTGGCCACCATGGTAACCATCGCTTCGTCCCCACAGTTGGCTTGCTGCCATTCAGTGGACACAAGTGACCTGAGCGGAGCTGTTAACCTGTGTTGGGAAGAGAAGAGGAAGAGGCCAGGAATCCCCGGGCCTCATCCAGCTCGAGTAACAAGAGCAGGGGTAGCACAGCCCCGCTGTCGGGGCCTCAGTCTTGACCAGGTCAGGGCATCGTGCCCTGCGTGCCCCGAGCTCTCAAGCAGCCTGCTCCACCTTTATCTCTAGGTCAGCTCACTCGTTTCTACGAAGTGCATGAGGTGTGTAATATTTGGGTCATGCAGCTCCATCCACGAAGGCAGCTCTCTTCTGGAAGTTCTGAGACACGGTTGGTGACGGTGAGCCTTGTGGGGGCGATGAGCGCAGAGTGAACTCAGGATGGACAGATGCCAGCGATGAGCAAATAATAAATAGATGAAATACTCATCTCATCTCCAGGAGGGGGTTAAGTACATTAGCAAGGCGAGGAGTCGGCGAGCCAGGGGACCCTGGGGTGGCCGGAGCCTCACTGCTGCTGTGAAAACGGCCACATCTCTAGCTTGGGACAGAGAGGGCTCCCTGGCCGGGAGGCTGAGTGGTACTGAGCAAGCGCCTGGCACCCAAACGTGTGTGTCCCAGGCTGACCCTTGGTCATTGGCTGTGCTGCCCAGGCAGGTGACTCCACAGCCCTGTGTCCCTGCTGCAGAGTTGGGCAATGTGAAATGAGGATTCAGAGGGATCACCCCCATAGGGGCTCCAGAATGTGGGTCACCAGCTGCTGGCACCCCAAGTGTGAGGGAGCCTTATAAAAGGAGTCTTATTGCCTGAAGGGTACAATGACAGAGTAGATCCCAGGACAGACCTTCCGTGCTGCCTGGGCCTCCTGCAGTGGTGACCCCAGAGCCTGGAAGGAGCGCAGCCCCTCCTCGGCTGGGAGCATGTAGAGGCACGGAGCCTGCCCAGCCCCTTCCTGTCCTGTTGGGGCACGATTTTCAAGACAGGGAGCATCCTGGGTGTGTTTTGGCCTTGGGAGTCTCAACACGCTCCACAGGACTTAGGGCAACTCTGAGTTTGCTGTCCCAACAAAGGGACCAGGCACGGAGACAACACTCAGAGGACAGGGTGCAGGAGCCAGGGCCTGATCGTGCAGCCGGGCGGGGCCTGGGCATCAGCATGGAGGCCCTGAGGCTCCACCCCTCAGAGCTGTGTGACTGTGGGCAAATTCCTCAGCCTCCCTGGGCCTGAGTTTCCTCACACATCAACTTCCAAGTTGGGCTTGAGAACTGCTCCTCAGTCTGTTCTGGGGACTCGGAGCTGGCCATCAGACAGTCCCGCTTCATCTCCTTGGCTTGTTGGTATCCATTCATAAAGAGGCAGAGGAGGAGGAAGAGGAATCATTCCTACAGCAAAAACAACACAATCCAGACGTTCCCCAGTAACTTGTCTTTACCCCCTTCTCCAAGCTTTAAGGGGAAGAGTGCAGGGGGCTAGGGATGTGTCGGCCCTGGGGCTCAATCCCCGGCACTGGAGAGAGACGGGCGGGAGATTTGCAATTTCCAAATGGTTCTTGGTTCCCTGGACTTGAAGCTCTCTTCCTCTTGGCCTCTGCCCCTTGAGGGAGCCTCATGAGCGGTGGGAAGGAGGGGCCTTCAAGTCCCCGCTGTGTGGCATGGAGGCCCCGGCAGGCGGCTCTCTCTAGAAGATATGCTGTGGGCATCTTGGCTACACGCTCCCAGCTGCCACACCCAGGTCACATGTGGTGGGCAGCCTGGCCAGCCACACCGGCCTCCACAGTGGGATCCTGGGCCAGCTGCCCCTGGGCCTCAGGGTCCTCATCCGTAAAGTGAGGACACTGTGGGCCTAGGTGACCTCGGCTCTTCCCAACGTCGTGGACACTGTCCCCGGGGCTCCAGCTGTATGCAGGGGTGGTGTCGGGGAGGGGGCCTTGCTGACCCTCGTCGGCTGCCTCACGCTGGCCTGGCAGGGCCGGGCTCAGAGTGGCCTCAGGCTGCAGGAGAGCCCAGTGCCAGGCCCAGCTGCCAGGCTGCCATTTGAAACGTGTCCTGTTGGTGGCACTTTGGCGTGGCTCCGGTGTTCCGGTCTTGGATCATATTTGATCTGACCGTGAACGTGAGTTCTGTCTCTCTTCCTATTTGGTTCTCTTTTGCTTGAGGAACTCTCGGTGCTAAACTTGTCCTTGTCCTTCCCCACATGAACCCTTCTGCGGCTCTCACTGCCCTCAGAGGAGGTCCCCAGCTGGGAGTGGCCCCCAGGCCTTTCTGGGGCCTGGCACAGCCTGGTCCCCACCTGGGGCCTCCCTCTCCCCAGACAAAACAAGCCGACCTTTCTCTTCCTCAGGAGGGTCCCTGAGTGTCACTTCCTCCTGGAAGCCCTCCCCCACCCAGTCTACCCCCTGACCTCAGTTCAGGCCCGCCCTCCTGGTCACTTCCTGGTCACTTCCTGGTGGGGATCCTCCTGTGCCCATCCCCACCCTGGAGACAGGATGCCTCAGGCACAGGGCGGGGTGGGGGGGCCTGGAAGTGTCTCCGAATGAGTCCAAGACTCAGACCAAAAACACCCTGTTGACTCTGGGACGGGGTTGCCACCAGGTCACTGGAGCCCGGGAAGGACCGGTGGCGACACCACCTGCTTCCTCGGGCCTGCTGCTCGGGCAGTGAAGGGGTTAAGTGTTTCTGCGGCAGCTCCCTCTTCCGGGCCGCAGCAGCCCGGGCTGGCGAGGAATGTTTGCCATGCAGCGCTGGAGGGAGGGAGGGAGGGAGGAGCCGGCGGGGTGGGACCCGCAGGCCCCGGGCCAGGCTCCCCCATTGAGCAATAGGCCACCGGTTCCTGTAACGCCAACCCTCCCTCTTCCCGCCCTGCCGGCTTCCTCCTCCCCTAGTCACGGTGGGAGGTGGAGGGACCGAGGCCCCAGAGCCTGGAGGTCAGAGGTGAAGGAGAGGGACTCCCAGAGAGTCAGGGAAGGGGTTCAGGAAGCTCAGCCACCCGGCCCAGAGACGGCTGGGCCTTGCCCAAGGTCACACAGTAAGATGCCCGGGAGCTGGGCTGGGCCCGAGCTGTAGGTTTGGCTTTTTTGTTCCCATAGCACCAGACTGCAACTCAGACACACCGCGGAGGTCACATGGCCACCAGCTGGGGAGCTCAGAACCACAGGAGACCTTCTCCCAACCCAAGGCAGAGCCTGGGCCTGGCCTCTTCTCCCAAACCCCAGGATCCCGAGAGCCCAGAGGTTCCCACTGGGTGGGGAGAGCCCCCCAGCACTGCCACTGCCCAGCCAGCTTTGGGGACACTGGTCACCCCCGTCCCTTGCCTTCCGGGGTGTGAAGTACAGGCACCAGGGCCAAGCTTGAGCTGGTCCTCCAAAGCCCCTGGGTTCTCTCCCTCCTCCCTCCCTCTGTCCTTCCAGCCAGGACCTTCCTGGGTACGGTGCCCCTGGGCCCTGGGGGGAGCTGTTTCTCTCCCCACCCGGCCCCACCCTCCCAGCTCTCCGGGCCTCAGTCTCTTCCTGTGGGGGGACTTCACAAGGTGGGTGGGTGGGCTCGGCCACCTTCAGGCTTTGCTGATGCTCTGAGCCACCTGGTCCCACAGGTGCCCCGTTGGTGGGGACCTGCTCGGGGTCTCCCATGCTGGCCTGGCCTGGCCTGGGCCTCAGCACCCAGGGAGGGTCTGCTGTTGGGAGGCCACAGGTGGCTGAACCAGAGGGAGCTTCTGGGACTCCAGGGCAGTAGGCACTCATGGGCTGGTTGGGCCATCCCTGGGTGCTCAGAGTCACACTACCTGTGGGACAGAGAGAATCAGGTAAGTGGGAAAACCGTGCTCACAATACCCGGCTCCTCCTACCCTCCACTCTGCCCCCATTTATTGAGCACTTACTGCATACCAGCAAAGAACTAAGTGCTTTCAAGACAGATCTACCTTAATCCAACAGCCACCCCTCAGGAATGGGGACCCAGATGCTGCGGCTGGGAAGGGCCCCCAAGGACAGATGGACAGACAGAGGGCGATGCCTCCCCCTCCCAGGACCTGCGGGCTGTGTGGCATCCCACCTCCTCCCGAGCATGTTTCCTTTAAGAAACCAGAAGATTGATTTCCTGGCAGGCTGTGCCGAGGAGCCCGTCCAAATGGTTTGCATGTCTGCATTTTTTACTGCTCCGTTTAATATGTATGCAAATGCCGGCCGGCTGCGCCCGCCGCTGCAGTCACACGCGGCGCCCCATTAAAGCGGCCGTCCTGGGCGCGCGCCTCATTCGAGGCGACGGGCTCGGCGGCCCTGATAGATGGGGTGCGGGGACGGAGACAAATGACGGGCTTTGCAATTTCTTTCTCTCTTTTTCTTGGGGGGGGGAGCAGGGGGGTTGGAGCCTGGGAGCCCACAGAGGAGATTTAAATATATGCAAATTTGTTTGTGGGTTTGGGGGGCGGGGTGTAGAGACCTGAGCCAGAGCGGACAGACGGGTTTCCTGGTGGCAGTGGCTGGGGGAGCCAGAGAGGCGCGGAGAGCAGGCTCGGCCCAGGGAAGGAAGGACTCGCTGCTTTCAGACCCCCCTCCCCACCCACCCGCTGGGGACCCTATAGGTACGATGTCATCCTCCGTCTCACCCTAACCGGAGGTGGCCAGCGTCACACCCACTGTGCAGATGGCGAAGCTGAGCTGGGGACAGAAGCTCCTTGGGAAGGGTCACAGATGAGCCTCTGTGAAGCTGGGACTCCCTGGCGGCCCACCTGTGACCCCCAGGGTCCTCGGCCACCTCTCCTGCGCTGGGAGCTTTAAAGGAGTCTGTCCTGTTTCTCAGGGTGTCGTGAGGGCACAGGGCGCACAGAGAAGGCTGCAGCCTGGGGAGAGGCCCGGGCCCACAGCACCCAAGACCCAGAGTCACCCATCTGCAGGTGTGCAGTGTGTGTCCCCAGACTGTGGCGAGTGTGCCCGTGAACCTCTGCTGAGCGTGTGCCAGGGTGTGCACAGGATCGTGGGAGTGTGTGAGCTCCGCTGTGGGTCCCTGTGTCTGGTGAGCACGGGGCTATGTGTACCTGCCTGTCAGTGTGGACACGCGGGTCAGTGCACATGTGCCTGTCAAGGTGACAGCAGCCCAGAGCGCGTGTCCTGGGGCTGGAGACAGCGGGAGCCCCAAGCCCCAAGGACTGCCCGGGTTGGGGCTCGGGCCTCCCTCCTCCCTTCTCCCCTCCCCAAGGGCCTCTGCCCCTCAGCGGCGGAGTGGGGTGACACCCAGCAAGCAGCAGGAGTAGGGAGGGGAGGACCCCGGAGGCTCAGGCACTGGGAGTCAGGGCGCAGCCCCACCTGAGGGGAGCCGAGGAGCTCTGGATGGGCGCCAGGGGCCACCCTCCCCACCCCCCCACCCCAGAAGCTCTCTGTGAGGGTGACATCTCTCCGGCATTCACAGGTTCTTCACTTAAAGTGCCCTCCCCTGGAT